ACAGGAACCAAGGAAAAGTTTATTCTAAAGAAGCATTGGGGTCCATCTGGAAAATTCCTCACTCACACATTCTATTATCTTACAAAAACATCCCCACACTTAAGCAATTGCTAAATCAGACAAGCAGAGCAAAGAGATCTGGTTCCCAGCCTACATTTTTTTTTTTTTTTATACCCTGTGAAGTCTGGGCAGGAGTCAGCATAAAGCCTTCACGTAGCTCAATAGTAGAGTTGCTCACTGGGCATGTGCAAAGTCTTGGGTTTAATCCTTGATACCACAACCACACACACACACACACACACACACACACACACACACACACACACACAAATTACATAATGCTTTCTTTCAAAATATTCCTAAGAATCACAGAAGCGTGGTGAAGCCTTGTTGGGACAACAGCTTGATTCCCACAAATTAAATGCATGCTGTTCTCTGTAGCACAGTCAGACTTCCTGGCATGTCTGGGTGTCTCCCCTGGATGATCAGACTGGAAGAGGTATACAGTTCCCACTACCTTAAATAACAAAAGACAAACAGACCCACACTTCTGCAAACCATATCAAAATACAGGTACATTTTTGATTGGCAGCACTAATCTTGGTTCATGAATTTGCGAACATACAAGCACAATGAAACATCAAAAAAGTGGTCAATGTGATGGAGACTACAGACATGTTCCCAGTGGAAGCAATGGAACCCAGCAGAGGCTAGCCAGGGAAGCCAAAGTCTAATTAGTTCTGTACTTGATGGATAAGGGAGCTACTGTAGATAATGAGCTTCAAGAACAACACGGAAACTCCTGGAGACTCTGCCCATTTGAATAAATGCTCACTTTTATTGCTTGGCTTCTGAGGTTCAATTTCCAGCAAAGAAAAGATGAATTCTTCAGCTTGTGTTGGATCTGCTTTCAATCTCTCTTGTCTTCACATGGTACATTTGTTGGGGCACAACCAACATATACAATGGAACTCCCCTTTAATTGTTATTCTTATGATTCTCATTTTGATTTCAGTTTCTTGATCCAGAGCCAGTTCAGGCTAGGCCTGGGTTTCCAAGCCATTATCCCAAGAATAACAATACCATTGCTCACACAGAAAGCACTGGAAAACTCTCAGTCATTAAGAGCACTGTCTGTTCTTCCAGAGGATCTAGGTTCAAATTCCCAACACCACATAGCAGTTCATGATCTCGTTTACTCCAAACACAAATTAGATAGCAAGAGAAGCCCACTAAGTGTAGACAACACTACCTAAAATCAGCCACCATACTACTTTTACAACCATACAATCAGGGCTATGCCAGGGTACTTCCTTACCTTGCTAAGGGGCCCACCTTTCAAAGAACAGGATGCGTGCGTGAGCTCACAGCCACTATGGAAGTCAGTATGGACTATCCTCAAAAGACTGAAAGTAGATCTACCATATAACCAACCTACTCCACTCTGCACATTTACCCTAAAGATTCCAAGTCAACATATCACAGCAATGCTCACATATCTTCCATGTTTACTAAAGCACTTTTCACAAGTAGTATGTAGTTATGGAACCAACCTATGTGTCCATCAAGAGAAGAACAGATAAGGGAAATATGGTCTATATACACAATGGAATGTTTTTCAGTCATAAAGAAAGATGAAGGTATGTCATTTGCCAAAATATTGATTCATCTGGAGATAATTCTGTTAAGGCAATTACATCAATCTCAGAATGAGAAAGATCACATGTTTTCTCTCATTTGTGGGTCCTATATTTAGTAGAGAGGCATAAAATCATATATGCATAGATGGCATTAATGTAGAAGTGAGATTGGGGAAGTTATAAAGAAAGAGAACGGTAGTGGGGTATGGGGGAACATGCCCCAAGTATATTATACACTTGCATAAAATTAGCTTTATGTAACCCTGAATAGTAAAATAAAATATAAAGAAACAGTTAAAGACACAGAGACAAAAAAAAAAAGAAAAAGAAAAAGAAAAGAAATCAGAGAACCCTGTCTGCTTGTGGCTCCCTTTGCCATTAACTCAAGTGTAATCTAAAGAGTTGTAAGATATTGAATTATGGGAGAAAAATGGAAACACTTTTTTTTGTCTTTTCTTGCCTGCCAATGATTTTGTAATATTACTCATAAAATCACTTTGCTTTCAGCCGGACGTTGGTAGTGCATGCCTTTAGTGCCAGCACTCGGGATGCAGAGGCAAGAGGATCTCTGTGAGTTCGAGGTCAGCCTGGTCTACAAAGCGAGTTCCTGGATAGGCTCCAAAGCTACACAGAAAAACCCTGTCTCAAAAACAAAAACAAAAAACCTTGCTTTCTTCACATTATTTTTTAAGAAACTTAACTTTTTCATTGCAAAATCAATACATTCTCAAGCTGGATGTGGAGGTGCCCATGTGCAGTCTGAGAACAAAAGAGACTGAGGCAGGAAGACCCTGAGTTCAAAGCCAGTCTGGGCAGCATAGTGAGACTCTATCTCAACCCAAACCAAACAAAGCAGAGTGGTAAAGTTCCTCATCACAAAAAATAAATTCATAGATAAGCCAGCATGTAATCAAAATAAATAAAACACACTCACAATCTTGAAAATAAGATAATCCTTTCTATTGCTTTGTCATTCTTCTGTATTTCTCCCTGTGTGGACAAACTTGTATAGGCATAAACCCCCTCAATGCTCTGCACCCTTAACTAAGTTCAAACACTAAATTCACAAGGACCCTAACATTTGATCACAGACATCAGCCCTGCACAAAACACTGGCAGACATAGTAAACCTCCTCTCAACTTCTATCCACTCACATTTGTTCCCTTCTAACCACAAAACAACCACATCCGTGTCCAAAGACTTTATCCTGTGTCTAAATCCTTCAGTATTGACAAGGGCTCGGTAATTACTCACTTTCTAACTCTAGTCCTAAAGTGCATAAAATATGTTTGCTGGAATCACAAGGAGGAAACTGCAAGAAAGGCCAAGCTTGATCTCTTGAAGTTTTCTTTCCAAATAAAAGTAGACTTTAAAAGATTCACTAATTATTTTCTGTTGCAGGCTCAAATGCCCAACAGATGTGTCACAAATACTGTATAAGTAAATGATGTGGCTGGGGAGGTGGCTCATTTGCTAAAGTGCTTGCCTTGTGGGCACAAAAGCCTGATTCCAATCCCCAGAACCCAAACCCAAACCCAGATATGGCAGCATGCTTGCAATCTCAGAGCTAGGGGAGCAGACATAGACAGACCCCTGGGGCTCGCTGGCCATCCAGCCAGGGAGAGAACTTGTCTCAAAAAAAAAGTAAAGGAAGGTCAGGTGTGGTAGCCCATACCTTTAATTCCAGGACTCCAGAATCAAAGGCAAGTGAATCTCTCTGAGTTCAAGACCAGCCTAGTCTACATAGTGAGTTCCAGTCCAGGCAAGGGGTACATAGTGAGAGACTATCCAAAATAAATAAAGTCAAAGGCAGATAGCCCCTTAGAATTGATACCCAAGGTCATCCTCTGCCCTACTACACATAGATACACACACACACACACACACACACATTTATAATGCCACCCAGACGTGAGCAAATAAACAAGACAGATAGTTAATATGTTTGTCTTTGCAGTCATACTGTCTCCTCTATAATTGCACAACCTAAGTCAGCTATCTCATACCAGAAGCAAGGCGGCCATTCACCATAAAAACAAGTGGGCATGACTTTGTCCATTATCCCTCAGTTCACACAAAAAAACTTTTATGTCAAAAACAATCATTTTCCGAGAGAGATGGTAGCAGTGATCACAGCTACACAACTCTATAAAAGTGCTTAACAGCACTGAGCTGTACCCTTAAATACAGAGAACATGAGGGCTGGAGGGATGGCTCAGCCATGGAGGCATGCATGGCCAAGGCTGATGCCCTGAGTTCTGCCACCAGGGCCCACATGGAAGAAGGGGAGAAATGACTTCTGCAACTTGTCTTGTGACCACACACACACACACACACACACACACACACACACACACACACACGTGTGTACTTTTTTTTTAAATGTCATAGTAACATTCTTGATTTCACCACAATTTAAAAAGAAACAAAGACAAAATGTTTCCTGCCTTATATTTTTTAAACTCCTGGCCTACATGATCGTTTCTGTTAAGTGCTCTAGGATTAAATGAACTCTGTAGAACACAAATGCTTCTAAAATGATGCATAAATACTTTCAAAGACAAAACTGTTCTTCCTCAAACCCCTCTTTGGATATTGTGAAACCAACATAGACTATACCAGCTCCTCCCTTAACCTGGGAATAGTCCAGGTGGTGAGGTACTTCTGATCATGCAGCAGTATGCAGGCTGACTGCCTCGGGAAATCAAAGGAGTAATTAAAAGAGTACCTCGATAACCTATCTGACAGTCAATCTACTTTCCCTAAGTTATAAGAGAACAAAGGCACAATAGGATGTCACCCCAGTCTCAACACAATCCGATGCTGCAATGCATTAATCATATACCTCCAACCTCGGTCCAACCGTGGAGCTGTCTGTTTCTATTTATTTCTAGTTGATTTTATTCAAACTCTGCATTCATTATGGCTAGCTATGATGCTCTCCTTTCTTTGTTGTTTGTAGACCTTCATTATTAATGAAGATGCACCCTTTCCCCATACACAGTCAGTCTTAAAACAAGTGCTTTTCTGCAAGTAGATTTGGGGAAATTTCTGTTTCCTCTTCTGCTTTCTAGTTCTTAGCTGTGACCATAAGAAGCCAACTAGATATTTTTTTAAGGGCCAGCTCTTGTGCTTTCATGCCATGATTAATGTGTTACTCATCTGGTACCTTCCTATTCAACTCTTGTCTTTAGCCTGTGAACTTCTCATGTAGCTTCCAACAAAGGATTCCATTGCTGTAGGAACTGAGGTGTGTCTCCGCTTTTACCTGGGAGGCAGTGATGCAAGCGTTTCTGCTGAGACCAATCCATGGCTTAGGGTGGGGTGGAGCAGACTAACAGGCCACCAGGAGAAGGGCAGAAGACAGAGCCACCACTGCCAGAAGGGTGCTCCAGACATCGGATACAGACACTCGGGTGAGCAGCTGCAGAAGAGGCTTGGATTTGCTCACCGGGGGGCACCAGCCACAATGACCTGCCTATTCCCCAGAGTCCTGGGACCTCTGGCCTTCCTGATGGTAAGTCCCATCTTTTTCAAAAACTAGTAAGCTTTCTCTGCTTCCTTGCTTACTCCAGAAGACTGGATTTGTTTGCTGAATCCCTGATGTACATTCTAAAAAGGATGCAGCAGAAGTAAATGCTAAAATGTGAAACTTTTAAATTCCTTCCTTTTTAGTTTTTCTTAATGTTTAATTTTGAAAAGAACTATAACTCAGGAAAAATATATTTTATATTTCTTCAGTGATTGGATTAATTCATCCCAATCCCAGGTTGTATTATCTACGACCTTCGTTTTCTTCAAGGCAATGCATTTTTTCTAACACACAAATGAAAACATGCACGACCCAGCCACTTCTGTTCTCTGGGATTAAACATCTCTTGTTAAGCATATAGCTAAGAACTCTGCATGCCTGATCTTGACACCTGACGTGTTTTTAGAACAGTCACCAACCGTTAAACTAAAATCAAAGTAAATTTGACTCTAGACAAGTTGGGAGGATTATTAAGAAAACCGGTTTTACATTTAGCTACTATGTGCAAACTGTATCAGGCCTTTGGGAGGGGGGGTGGGAGGGGTAACGTGAATTTAACCAGGGAACAATGCTCAGGAGGTAACTCTTCTGTTGGCTGGGGAAATACTACATGTTGTTTTCTAAATGACAAGAAGAATCAAGAGTGAAATCATTAGCTCTGACACTATAAGCAAGTTCCTTAATCATTGTATTAGTGAGGCAAAAATACATCATCACTCATCTCCATCATGAAAATTACCAAAAACTGTAACATAAATGAATATAGGAAAATTTGCCGCATTGTGGATGATAAAGTTGGCCTCTGCATCTATTCATGCCATTGCTTCACTTCAAAACACAGAGAGCAGTGTCATCTAAAACTCACAGGAGCCAGAGCTCAAGAACTTTTGGAAAATTGAAGTCGCCTGCAGCCACAACAGATGCTTTGTGTGGGAGAGGGCCTCAACTCTCTGTCCTAAGTGTTCAAACAGAAAACAGACATCACACCGCTTTCCATAAATTGAACCAATGATTGAACAAAGCCTCCTTTAACTGTGACTCGACCTTCAGTTCTCCTGTGATGCTGGTGATTAGGGAGTTAGAACATATAAGACAATTTCCAGCAGTAAAGCTTTGCCCATGTTGGGTGGGGGGGGGGAGATAGGGAGGGAGGGGGGAGAAGAAAGGAGGGAGTAAAGGAAGAAAGGGAGGCAGGGACAGAGGGAGGGAAAGAAGGAGGGAGACAGAGTAAGAGAGAGAAATAGATAACAAAGGGTCGAGCTATGAGCTGCGCAACATCGTAGCCACTACCCATACATGGATATTTATCACTTAGAATATAATTGTTCTGAGATGAGATGTGCTGTTAAATGTAAAACACACAACGGAACATAAGAGATATTGTTAGTTTAGTTTTTTGATTACATATTGAAATTATAGTATTTTCAGTAGATTAAATTGAAAACACCACAATTAACTTCAGCTTTTTAACAAGTCTTTTGATGCAAGTCTAAGAAATTTTAAAACCGTTCAGGTGGCATTTGTGCTTCACATTAAGCAAAGCTGACTCCTAATCCCACTTGCAGAGGTGCTAGGCAGATAAGACTCTGTGGATTCAGTGGGAGCCAAGATTCCCTAAGTGGAGACAGACCAAACTGTTCCATACCGGTACAAGCAAAGACAGGGCAATTGTGGCCTTTGCCAGGGGCTGTGGAGCTACTGGTTTGACTGGACTGAAAACGTATGTTGGAGAATCGGGGCGCAATTTAAATAGGCTGATGAGTGTGACATTGAAAGGTTCATTCTGTGAAAGCAAGTGGAATCCTTTTAGAAAAAGGAGCCACCCAGAGTTTTGACATAATGTGGTTATGGGTAAGAAGCATCATTTGTTGTTGAAGGGTGGTGTCTGAAAGTTGAAAGACATGTCTGGAAGTTTCTGTACCTTTCCCATCGCACACACCATACAAGGTCATTGACAGCATTGTAATGTGAGATGTAGCAGCAAGACCCAGGCTTGAGTGTGTAGCTGTTCCGTTGACTCACTCCAGGTCCTGTGTTCTCTACTGTCAAATAAGAATCATCTTAGGCTGGGCATGGTAGCACATACCTTTAACCCCATCACTCAAGAGCCAGAGGCAGATGATCCGTGAGTTCAAGGCCAGTCTGGTCTATATAGTAAATTCCAAGACAACCAGGGCTCTGTAAAGAAACCCTCTCTCCAAAAAAGCAACAAAAATAACAATGAAGGGAGAGAGAGCCTCTGTAGCCCTGCCCCTGCCTCTCTAAAATGCCAGCAGTAAGGAGGGAGCTTCATTGTGTTCACAGAAGTTTTTCGAGAAACAGGAGTGTTTGAAAGACTGATACCATCCACTATGTAGTATTTCAGTGTGGGGGGATTCTTGATGACTCAGTATTGTGTGTTAATGCTTTGAATACCACTGGCATCAGATTTAATACATCTTCAGGTAGAGTATATCAAGAGCAGCTGTGTGGAGTTGGGGAGATGGCCCAGGAGGTTCAGACTATTTGAACTCCAAGACTAACTATTTGGAATATATAAGTACAAAGTAAATCTGAATATCCTTTTTGATATTTGTCCATTTTGAGAAAAATTTGGAGTTGAAGATGCTCCACTTCAGAGATTCACTTCTGAAAATAAAAATTGTCTTCAAAGAAAACTGTTGTTCCATTTTGTATAGTTAGCAAATTCTAAAACACATCTTGTGCCACAAATTCCTCATCTGAAGAATGAGCTTGTCAATTTCATGTTACAATGACATCTAAAACTTCACTTACGGAATTAAGAGAGATGCCCCAAACCCAAAAGTTTAAGACAGTTTTTTAAAGTTGTATGTAAAGGGGAAAGTGAAAGCCATGAAAAATTCAAGTCAGAAGCAGAATGTACCCTAAAACCAGCAAGATTCCTTCCAGCCATCTTTTCTATACAACATCAAAGTTCATAAAAAGTGGCTATAAGCTAAACATCCACTTAATCAATGGACAGCCTCTGAGGTGTCTTTTCCATTCTTGATCAGGGAAATGGCCATTTCCACTGTTGATGAATATATGAAGATGAGTCCACTGAATCTCTTTGAAATTCAAGATTCTAAGGGCAGAGGAACCTTGCCAGGAATCCTGCCTAACACTGCCTGGCTTTGGCAGAAGTTGGGAGAGACACAATTATTCCTACCAATTAGCCTTCCCCCTTGCTTAATACCAGAAACCAATTCTCAGCCCTAACTAGAATGCTCTGTGTCCCAGAGGTTTCTCGTAAACTTCTTAGCCTTCGATGCTCCCTTTCCAGTAAAAAGTCAATCTGTAGCCTAAGGTGAGGGCTTGCTGGGGAAATGCCTCATGAGGAAATTACATAGATGATGGGTTATCCATAATTACATGACGAATAACTGAATCTGATTAATGCACACTTTTTCTTAAAGCAGTGCAGCTGGCCAGGCTGTGCATTGCACAACCTCAGTTGGTGCACTCATGGGAACTGAGTGCGAGCGGCATCCCTGATATTTGCAGGAAGCAGCCTGCACATAGGGGTACCTCGGAGCTCTGCATTAAGGAGTTCCTGCATACTAGTCAAAGGCCCTTGGTACCCTTCCTTTCCTTGTTATCCTAACAGAAATCACTAGCTTTACTAAGCACTGACTGTACTCTCGGGTCACCTCTGTGCTTCACATCTGCTCATAGTTCAATCCTCACAACTAACCTACACACATGTAAGCAGTGTCCCTCTACGGCACATGAGGAAATGGAAGAGCTGGGTCATGTGACCAAATCAAATAGTTATAGATGCCTGGGACTGAGATTTAAATCAGCCTGGAGACCTGGAAGATGGCTTGGAGGGTTGCTGAGCAAGTGTGGGAAGCTGAAGCCAGATCCTTAGAATCCATGTGAAAACAGACGCAAAGGTGAACACATATAATCATAACATCCAGTACACACACATAATCAGAACACCCAGTACACACATGTAATCAGAACAGCCAGTACACACATGTAACCAGAACACTCAGTACACACATGTAACCAGAACACTCAGTACACACATGTAACCAGAACACTCAGTACACACATGTAACCAGAACACTCAGTACACACATGTAACCAGAACACTCAGTACACACATGTAATCAGAACATGCCTATGGAAAGAGGGAAGGAAGAGATGAGAATCTCTGGAAACTTGAAGCCCAGGAGTCTGGCACCATAGTAGCAAACCAGAGTTTTTATCTCACACAAGGCAGAAGGTAAACACTGACATATAAGGCTGTCCTCTAACCTCCACATACATGGCCTGGCATGCACACACACATGACTAAAAAGAAAATCAGGGTCCAGGGTCCAGATTTATACCAGCACACTTGACACAGCATCCTCCAATGCATTCAAATGGAATATTTGCAAATAGCCAAGGGTGTCACTTTTACTTAGCATATCTTAGCTTAAAAAAAAAAGATCAGCTATAAATTCATTGAGTTTTGAGTTTACACATCAGTTCTTGAAAACTGAACTGTCTGAAATTAAATACTAATTTCTAAATAATTTAATTTATATTATTCAATTGGAGAATTTGCCTTGATGAATACAGAGTTTATTAGAATGTTTCATGGCTTTAAAAAATCTATCCAGTCCTGACTTACACTTATTTTTTATTTATTTTTTATTTTTTTGCTTTATATTTCTACAACCCTTGGGTTTTTGTTTTCAATGTAAAATCCAATAAGTTCCATGTAGTACTCAAAGCTTCCTTATAGAAGAGCTTTTGTGTTGGGTGATTTCCCAGCCGTAGACTAAAGTGTTCTGAGGGTGCAGACTAAGATATGTTGTCCAGAGGGTTATTGATGTTAAGCGCATATGCAGATTAGTATTTCCAGCTTACAATGGTATTATTAGGACATTGTGCACCGTAAGTGAAAGATCTTTCACATAGAAATCGGAAGAATAAGTCACTCATTCTTCTGAACTGTGCCCTGTGTGATGCATTTATCAAATGTGTCTTACAGGACTGCTATGACTTGATATGTTTACAATCACTGTGTCTGACTAGTTGATCAAGTATAGCAGCAAAACGCCAACCTGTGGGCATTTCATGACATTTCTTGCCCAAAAGGTATAAATGTAAAATCATACTTAAAATACATAATGACTCCTTTGAGTTACCTAAGTTAGTCTCTGAACTCCCCAGCGGGGAGTGTGCTAGACTTTGATGCCTTCTGGAAATGGGCAGTGTGGCTATGTAAGCTGCATTTGTCAAACCTACTGCAAATATCTGACAGGAAGCTTGAGAGAGGAGAGCAAGGTTTTGGCTAACAATTATTCCAGTCTTCCACCGGAAAGCATGATGACCATGGTCAAGCCAAGAGAATCTTACATCAATAGCTGCTCACATAGGAGGTAAAGAGGGGTTGCTGAAACTAGAGAAGGTTCCAGCTCTCTAAGCCCCACCCTCAGTGACCCCAGGACCCCTCTCCCAAGAGTCCTCGGCCTTCAGAATTAATCCACAGCTACAGTCATAGTTGTAGACAGCCCAAGAATGGTTTGGCATTCCACAATGTTTCCTATTATGTCCCTTGTGTTTCTAGAAACAAAGGACAACTTTCCACACACTAAATGAAGAGACACTCCTTGGGATCAGTCTTAAAAGGAGAGCATTGAACATTTAGAAAGAATAAGGGCTCTGGCTCTGTGAGAGCACTTGAAATACAATAGCCCGTGCTCTGCCTGTGACTTCTCCATAGATCCGGTTTTGCCTTCCTGGGAAGATAGGACCAGGGCTTTAATGCCTGCTAGAATACTCATTCTCCACAGAGGTAGTACAGACGTGACTCATGTTTTCTGGATGACTCCATTTTTCCTGTAAAGAGGAAGGTGCCCAACCCTTCCTTCCCCTCACAAACAAGCAAAAATGGTTAGTGACCCCCCACACTGATCCCTTCTTTCCTAACAGATGGCACAATGTTGGGGCATCATCTTGAGATGATGCATTTAAAATAAGAATTTCAGGTGAAGTGTTTACAATGGAGGGATTGATCATCCCATGTCTAGTGTAATTGCTCCTTTGGTTTAGACTTGGACCTGCCTGTTCATTATAATCTTCAAAAATAAATGATGTGATAAATCTACATTGTTTCAGGACCAACCACAGCCTTGGCCCTGATAAAAATTTACATTACTGTCATATAACGTTCTTCTGTGTATCTATGTTAGCTCGGGGTTAGAACCTAGTATCATAGCAATGCACACACCCTAGAGATAAAGTGGCTATACTTCAAACACTAGCTCATGGAGGAGAAAATATTCATGTTCTTGTAGCTCTATAGCCAAAAAAACAGGGGTTATATAATAGGATCTTCTTTAGGTGGTCGCAATAAATAATAGCAATATTGAGTATAATGTTCTGTGAATAAAAACTAAGCAAGTCACCTACCAGTTTTAATTTATCCTGTAAGATAAGACAGTAAGATACAGGGAAATTTTGTGAGCTGCCCAGCATTAGAGAGAATGTGAGCTGTACAAACTCAGAGAGGGAGGCGTTAGTAAAGACTGCTTCATGCAACATGTCGCTGCTTGACTGGGTGAATCACAGGCAGGTGGGCAGTAGGGAGTGAGGGCTGCATTCCAGGTAGAAAGAAACACAGATGCCAGGCCTGTGAGATCCTGAGAAAGAAAATGGCCCAGGCAGCCCAACTTCTTTTATCCCTTTTAATTTTAGACCAGTAGTATACAATGGTGTACAATGAAACTCTTCGTTTGTTTGTTTGCTTGCTTGCTTGCTTGAGACACGGTCTCATTATGTGGTTGCACCTAGCCCAGAACTCACTATGTAAACCAGAACACTCAGACTCCTAGAGATCTACCCACCACTGTCTCCTGTGTGCTGGGACCAAAGACAAGCACCACCATGTGTGGAATTCAAAATGAAGTGAATGTTTAAGTTGCAGTAGGAAGGAGAAGAGCAGATCCAGCCCCGCACCTAAGACTGGCAAAGGGCAACCCCTGCTTTTAGAAAAGGTTCCATTGTCATAAACCACAATAGTTGTGCTGTATTCTCCTCTCTAGTAAAAACTTTAAAAAGAGGAGTTGGCGGGGGAAGCAGGGAACAAAAGACCCTGTCTTTAAAAGGAGCTAATCCAGGGTTGCTTTTCTATCATCACACATGGAAGGTAAGGACTTGGGGCTTTGATTTTGTTGTTGCTTTTTTTTCCCTAATTTTTTGTTTTTTTGAGACAAGGTCTTGCTATGTCATCCTGGCTGTCCTCCAACTCTTCGTAACCCTCCTGCCTTAGCTTCCCACATGCTGGGGCTGTAGGCATGTGCCACCATGCCCAGCATAGCCATTGTCAGTAATTCTGTGACCACTTTCAAGAAATTATCACAACGGTCCCTAAAGCAATGATTTCTGGGAGCTTTTTATATGGTAACCAAGTAAGAAATGTCTAATGACTAAAACTGTCTGAAAGCATACTTTTACAACCAAGGAGATGGTGACCACAGAAACAATGATTGTTGGAGTGGTGGCTATGAATCTTCTTCCTTGTTTTTGCTTTGTATGAGCCTGTAGTCCAGGCTGATATTCATTCACTGTTTAACCCAGGTTTGTCACAAACTCGCAACAATCCTCCAGCCTCAGCCTTTAACCACTGGTAGATTCCTCTTTTTTTCTGGCATAAATATCTGAAGTTATGGTGCAGGAGATATATCTTAGGAGTTAATAGCACTTGGTACTTTTGCAGAGGGCCCAGGTGCAATTCCCAGCACCAATATGGCAGCTCACAGCCATCCTTAACCCCAGCTGTGGGGGATCCAACAGGTGCACCCATGGTGCACATACGTGTATGCAGGCAAAATACTCATAGACATAAGGTAAAACAAATAAACCTTTTAAAAGTCTGAAGTCAGATTGAAAAACTAGAGGAACCTGTTGGTACGGAGAAAATTCCTTTTCCTGGTAGGATTTTACACTTTGGGATGCTTCTGCAAACCAACTTTTCTAAAACTAGAGATGAACTATAATCTGAAGAACAGAAGGCAGTGATGAGGGTTATTAGCTTCCTATAGTCACCTGCTTGAAGAACTCACATGGAGTTTGTTTCTATCTGATGTCTACAGGTGGTGCTGCTGGTGCATGGGGAGCTCCAAATAGAGGTAAGGTATGTAGGGTATGCAGTGTGTACCACTAAAATCAGTTTACTATTAAAACTTAAAATTATATTTAGCAATATATTTAATCTCATTATTTGATAATTCAACTGTGAAAATACATAAAACTAAAATTCTAGCAAATAACCCAAAATATTTGAAAGTTATCTATAAGTATTATGAGTATTATCTCATGTGGTCTTATTTATTGTATCTTACCTTCTATTGGATTCTTGGTTGGTTGGTTGGTTGGTTGGTTGGCTGGCTGGCTGGCTGGCTGGTTAATTGGTTGGTTGGTTGGTTGGTTGGTTGGTTGGTTGGTTGGCCCTGATCTTTTGAGAACTGATCATCTGGGTAATCCTGCCTACCCTGGTATCACTATGTAGATCAGGCTAGCTTTGAACTCCTGGCAATCTTCCTGCCTCAGCCTCAGTAGTGCTGGATGGCAGCAGGCATACACTACTATGTCCTTTCTTCTTATCTTAAACAAACAAGTCAAATCCTATTGTGGAATAAATGGAGAGAAATCAAATATGATTAAATAGTACTATTAGCTATCACATAGCTTTGTAACACTATATAAATCTGCTTCATGACAAAGTATCAGGTGAGCAAATGGTCATAAAAGTAGACACAAAAAGTTTCTCAGTGTAGGTGTCTATTTACGATCAGTAGTCAGAGCAGACTGCCAGCCGTAGATGTGATACAGTGAGGTCTCTTTCAACACAGCTGGGAAGACAGCACAGAGAAGACGGGACAGCAGTGCAGCAGGTCAAAAGAAGGTACAAACGTGAATGGGTAAAATTTGCCAAGCCCTGCAGGGAAAGAGAAGACAACTCAAAAAGAAACCCAATTGCCAAGGTAAGACATATTGACAAAAGCAGTGTGAGCCTTAGAATAAATGTATCAAAGGCAAATTTAAGACATTACAGCAATTCCACTCAGTAATACATAGCCTGGAAAGTCCATAGAACAACCAATTGTGTACAACAAAAACTACAATAATAATAATGTTTAAACAAATAGAGGAATGACTGCCTCTAGAGTTATAAAGTGGGATTAAGACATATATTGGCTCATTTTCATGTATAAGCCTGTGTACATCCAGATTTTATTAACCAAAAAGAAAAAATAGAGAGAGATGGCAATTAGATGACTGGTAGTAAATATTGGCTTGAATATGGATGGGTACCTATTAGGCTGGACAATGAGCTGTCTTATGGGCATTGTACTATCATCTCTGTTAAACAGCTTTAATTATAAAAATCAAAATCAATTCATGTTCACATATGCTCTGAACACCTGTTACCTTATTCTTTTCCTTCCCCAATTCACTGTTACTTCTTCCAACTTAAGGGAGCATCCTTCTTTAAATGGTCAGAAAGCATTGGACATCCAGAGGAAACTTTCTCACAACTAAACCCCGTTTGTCTTCTTACAACATGGTGCCACACCCCAAACAAGCATTCAAAATGGCTCATTCTCGGTCCATGCTGGCAAGCAGAACAACTGTACTTGATGTCTTATTCCTCCTCTTCAATAATTAGGACAATAAGAATAAATCATGGACGCAGTAATGGAAAGGGTGGGTAGGCCAAGTGAGCAGATGATTTTAGACTGAAGCCATTTTTCTCTTACAGATCACTTCAGATTTCCAAGCAACCCAAAAAATTACATACCGAATTTCTGGGGTAGGAATTGATCAGCCCCCTTTTGGAATCTTTGTTGTTGACCCAAACAGTGGTGACATTAACATAACGGCCATAGTTGATCGTGAACAAACCCCGAGCTTTCTGGTGAGTCCTCATCAAGCTATCCTCCAAGTACTTTGTGAAGTTAGAAGGTAGCACTGCTCCAGGTAGGTTTGCAAGAGAAGAAATTATTACATGGATTAGTCTAGCAATGAATAAAATTAACCCCTCTACCAAAAACCTCCTCCTGTGGTTCATGTCCCTGGCATAATACACTAGAGACCTAGAGACAGGGGTGGGGACGGGGGAGGGGGGGGTAAGGAGAGGCTTTCCAGAATTTCATCCTGTCAAAATATAGTAGCTTGAAGGAAGGTCCACTGGACCAATGGCAAGAGTGGGAATCTTTTCCCTTGCCCACACTTGGGGGAAATGTTTTTCTTCTTTGTTCATTAAGTTTTGTAAATGCCAACATTGGTCTAATTTCTGTGAGGCTTAATAATACTCAGACTAACTGCATACAGTGATAATGAATATTATCCCTGTGTTTTCAGATTACATGCCGAGCTCTAAATGCCCTGGGACAAGATGTAGAGAGACCGCTCATACTAACAGTGAAAATTCTAGATGTCAATGACAATGCTCCGATATTCTCACAGACCATATTCAATGGTGAAATTGAAGAAAATAGCGCTTCAAGTAAGCCTTTTATGGGGCCAAACGCCTCCAACTCATGTCTGTCAATTACACATGCCATTATACCATTTTTATAAACTATTCTGTTAGTTTGCTCAGTAGCTTGACCAAAAAAAGAAAAAGAGAAAAAAGTCATTACAAAATTCTGAGATTTCCTTTCCAGATTTTGTAGTAACTCTTAACAATTACCCATCAGAATTATATTTATAGATTATAGTCCCATTACGAAATTAGTGTCTAGGTACACACCTTCCATGTGAGTCCCAAACATGATGAGGCCTCTCGGGCAGCCTGGATGCATAAGCTTGATGTTTTTAAATTATAATGGACAGAGACATATTCACATTATTTGGATCATATGTAAAAGGAGACACGCAGGTCCATCTCTCTGGGGAAGAACTCCAGACAGAAGATAGCCCCAACCTCAAAAAAGCCAAGACTGAGGGAACACTGGAACATTTTCCTGAAAGCCAACAAATTCTAGAAAGATACAATAGTGACACAATTTGGGGTTTGGTCTGTTGTTGTTGTAATTTGTTTTGTAGTAGTAGTAGTTGTTGTTATTATTAGCTAACAGGTAGTTTTAAAGAAATTAGTGGGAATCAGAGATAACTATTTTGAGTCTGTAATGTGAATGTCCAGTCAGACATTACATAGTCTTTGACAATTTCCTCCTGTTCCTAGATTCACTGGTGATGATCCTAAATGCCACAGATGCAGATGAGCCAAACCATTTGAACTCTAAAATTGCCTTCAAGATCGTCTCCCAGGAGCCTGCGGGCATGCCCATGTTCCTCATCAGCAGGAACACTGGAGAAGTCAGAACTTTGACCAGTTCCCTAGATCGAGAGGTAAAACAAGATACTTGGAAGCATTAAAAAAGAAAAAGGCCCTAAAGGGTTTGATGGCTAGCAACCCAAGAATGGCGCCTCGGTCTTGTCTGAGAATACAAAAAGAATGGGAACGCTTAGCCTTTGCCTGAGACAATCTAGAGGAGTCTGCCTCCATATGAGTCTGCTCTAATGGAATGTACACCTGTCACAACAACCTTTCACGTTACACCTCAAATGGGAGAGTTAAGGGAGACACTGGTGTTGAGAAGCAGAGACTACACTGGGAATAATTCCTATAGACTGGGAGAAAATTCTATCTGTCATAAACCTCTGATGGCATGCCTTTTCTCTAGACATGTCCATTTAATTTTACCTTTGCTTACAAATCACCAAACACTCCCTTCTCTCATCATCTCCTACCACCACCAGGCGGGCATCTCCACCAGAGCAGGCCACTCAGGTACACATTGCTTTCACATAAATGGTTTTCCCGGGAGACTGATAGGGAACCTCCACCCATGAGCTTCCCTCAGACAGTCACAGGACACATCATTCCTATACCCCATTCTTTGCTCGGAGTCTGCAACATTATCTTCAGGAGTTCACCAAAGAGGAAGCCTCTTGTAGCCCCTCAGCATCTCCACCCAAGTCATCTGGAGCCACACTAGTCTCTGTCTGCCATGGACAACTAACAGTATGCATGAACCATGATTCAGGATTGTAAATGTTTTCACTGTCTTATCCATAGAAAGCAACTGCTTGCCATTCATGGTCTTTAACAGTTAATCTCTGTTCCCTTTTCCTCCAAATTCAGCAAATCAGTAGCTACCATCTGGTGGTGAGCGGCACAGACAATGACGGAACAGGACTGTCGACTCGGTGTGAATGTAGTATTAAAGTGAAAGATGTCAACGACAACTTCCCAGTGCTTAGAGACTCCCAGGTACGCCCACTGGGCCTTGAAGAACCATTTTAATATATGCTTAATAGCTTAGCATCCCAATTCACTGATTTCTTGTTCATTGGGTTTTAAATATTCTATACTTTTCTATTTTAAAAAGTATCTTAGCCCAGGCAGTGGGGGGAGGGAACGCCTTTAATCCCACCCAGCACTAGGGAGGCAATGGCCTGAGGATCTCTATGAGTAGGAGGTAGCCTGGCTACAGGGTGAGATAATGGATAGCCAAGGCTACACGGAGAAATTCTGCAATTTTTTTAAGCTTAAATATGGTAAGCAAGGAATTGGTGTGAAATAACACCTAATTTGAGAAATAAAGATGAACGCTATTTAGAATAAATATGATACTCTTAGGCAAACCCTAGTGTGAATCCTGAGCACTGGTCTGGGGGGTTCTCGCAGGGAGCTGAAGACCACCCTCTTCAGTTGAAGGAAGGTTGACACAGTGAGGAAGGACACACTTGCCTAGCCAGCCAGGTTGGCCTAACAACCCTGCAATGGACAGAGTGACAGCAATGCCCACAACTTCTAGCATGTACTGAAACCCTGCGCTTCCCCCCCCCCCATTCCAGTATTCCGCACGTATTGAGGAAAATACGTTAAATGCTGAGTTACTCCGATTTCAAGTGACAGACTGGGATGAAGAATACACGGATAACTGGTTGGCAGTCTACTTCTTTACCTCTGGCAATGAGGGGAATTGGTTTGAAATTGAAACAGATCCCAGAACCAATGAAGGCATCCTGAAGGTGGTTAAGGTAAGCTCTGAGTTTCCTTGGTGGGTAAAAACATTCTATGATAACAAAACTATCACACCAATAATGTGACCGCTCTATTATTTAAAAAACTAGAAGACATAACAAAGTAAATAGCATTTATTTTACTATCATCATAGCTCTATTGCCTAAAGACAACTTCTCTTGATACACTAATTTTCTTCCTCCCGAGCTACCATACTTTTACACACACACATACACACACACACACACACACACACATACACACACACACACACACACACACACACACACACACACATACACATACACACACACACATACATACACACATACACACATACACACACACATACACACACACATACACACACACACACACATACACACACACACGCACACACACATACACACACACACATACACACACACATACACACACACACATACACACACACGCACGCACACATACACACACACACACACATACACACACACACATACACACACACACATACACACACACACACATACACACACACATACACACACACACGCACACACGCACACACACACGCACGCACACACGCACGCACACACACACGCACACACACACACGCACACATACACACACACACACACACATACACACACACGTGCGCGCGCTCTTGGAACAAGAAAACAAAGGCATTTCATATATTAATCAAATTCACTGTCTACAATGGATTGGAGTACAGACGAGATGAAAATGAATGGGATTGTGACGTGGAAATTTGTCAACATGTATTAAATTCATTAGCTAATGTCCTCTCAGGAAAAAAAAAAAAAATCACAATTTCCAGAAAGTGGGAACTGTTAATAAATTCTGCTAGGTAAAAAGCGAAACACTGAGTAAAGTTCAGGTTCAGCATGACAGACTCCTCACCTGAAATTACGTCAGGACAGATGTGCCTGGAAAGGATAGACCCAAACTGTTACGAGCAGGTTTTCCACCCACCAGCCTGGTCCCACTGCCCCGCCAGCCCCAAATAACACACAGAGACGCTGTATTAGATATAATGCTGTTGGTCTGCTACTAGAATTTCTTATTGGCTAGCTCTGTCTTAAATATTAACCCATTTCTATTAATCTGAATATTTCCACGTGGTCTTATCTTACCGGAGAAAGGATCGAGACCTCTGTTCTCTTGGTCCTACATGTTGAATCTCCTCCTACCTCCTCCTTGAATCCTCCTTGTCTCCTAGTCCCACCTATCTTGCTTTCCTATTGGCCAATAGTGCTTTATTCATTAACCAATAAGAGAAACATATTTACAGAATGACAACTCCCATCACCCGAACAGATAGCCACTCTGCTGATATTCTTTGGCAGCAGGTTTTGGAACATTTCTTTGACACCTAGGTCTGATGTAATGATGGAGTGATAGTATTTCCTTAGCAAAGATACTTCTGGAAGATTTGCAAAACTTCTTATTATTCCACACTTCACAGAGAATGTTAGGGCTTCTGAAACTGCAAAGACTATGTTATAAATCCTAACATCATCTTGACACCCTGTTTAATGTACTGGGTTCATTCAGTTTCCCAAACTCGACACCTGGCTGTTATCCTTGAACCTGGGCATTTTCTACAGCACTCAGCCAGCCACCAAGTTCTGCCGCAAGCTACTGTTAAAGGATGGCTCCCTCTGCCTTCTACCACCTACCGTATGCCTAGCCTTGCTCCATCCCTCTTATATGATTGCAGTAAGGTCTAGCAGGTGTCCCTCCTGCCTATCCCCACTTCTTGCTCTCACGCTCCCCAGTCCACCACCACATGTATTTAAAGAAACAAATTAGATGACTTACTCTTCTCTTCAACTCCTCCCCGGCTCTCATTGGCTGAGTGGTGGCCCCCAACACCAACAGCACTTTCAAGTCACCTGCAACTTTTTCTAGATGGAATACAGAGAGGGTTTTCCCGGGGGCCTGTAGGGGAAATCCTCACCTTATTGAGTCTGAAATTAACCAACATGACTCTAACAGGCCATCCAGGGGGATAACCACCTCCATCAAAATGAAGCAGCTGGCCTTCCTACCAGGGTGCCCAAGGCCCTACCAGCCAGCTCTGATCACCTTCTGCAACAGAGGCTATTTAAAAATGCCTCCCCATTTCCCTGAATACCTTCACCGAACCCTTTGATGCTCAGCTCAGATGCAACCCTTTCAGACAGAAACAGTTCTCTGCTTCTACCCAGCTCTGCAATCTCCTTGTCTCCACTTCCACTTTCCCTCCCACTGGGAAACTCTGAGCTCTCAGAAGCAGTCACCACAGCTGATGCTCAAATCCAGATGTCTTCCCTTAAAAAGCATCCTACTGGTAAATAGAAAAAAAAAAAAAAAAATAACAGTTAGCACCTCCTAACCTATTGTCCTGAGAAAAGAAGACTAATGAATGACAAATGCTAACTTTGGATTTCTTGGGACTTGATTTGAGCCAGCTTAACTAGATAATCAAGCAGCTATAAGGAAAAACACTGGGAAATTTCTCTATGAAGATTTGGGTCAATTGCTCACTGCAATTGGTCTTCTTGCCAAACAAGATGTGGTAGCTGGCCTTTGGAGCTTCGAATTTTATTTATGACAGAAAAGAATATACATGAATCCAATGAATATTTTATTAATAGCCGAGTTGCTGTTTATAAAACTGCATCGCCAGGCAGTGGTGGGGCTTGTCTTTAGACCCGGTGCTCAGGAGGCAGAGGCAGGCAGAACTCTGAGATCGAGGCCAGCATGGCCTATAGAGTGATTACAAGAACTGCACTTGGAATCCCTATCTCAAAAATAAACAAAGAGTGTATCATAATATTTAATTTTTTTATAGTCTCACCCAACCTGACAAAAAAAGTTAAAGCCTCAGATGGGGCATAGTGGTAGAACACTTGCCTACCATATATAAGGCCCTGGATTCTGTGTCCAGGACTGAAAAGTATAAAGTTTTTAAACAAATTAATAAAATGTACATAGCATTTAGAAGAATGCTATGCTTTACAATACACAGCTGAGACATAGCAGAATAAAGACCTGAGCCATGTTAGCACTCTAATTAGGGACTCTAATTTCTTCCTCACAGCCTAAAAGGAGCTAATGATGTTTTGATAATCTAGAAAAGAGACAGGGTATTTTATAAACAGGTTACCAAAACAAGGTCTCACGAGTTAAGAATCCTAAGGCATTCTCTATTCGACCTTATGATGGCTTCTGAAAACATATTTGCTCCACAGAAATAGAAGGTCCTGTCCATCTCATGCTCTTCCAAACTGTGCTTGCTTTGTTTAGTCTTTTGTGACACTTCCTTCTGTCTAATTTGATTTTTCCTCCAGGCTCTGGATTACGAGCAGATGCAAAGCATGCAATTTAGCATCGCTGTCAGAAACAAAGCTGAATTCCACCAGTCAGTGATCTCACGGTACCAAGTGCAGCCAACTCCAGTCGTCATTCAAGTCATCAATGTCCGAGAAGGAATTTCATTCCGCCCTCCTTCCAAGACATTTACCGTGCCAAGGAGTGTAAGCACTAACAAATTGGCTGGTTATATCCTGGGAACATATCAAGCTACTGATGAGGACACTGGTAAAGCTGCCTCATCTGTCAGGTAAGACAGGCTTTATATCCTTTGAGTCCTTAGTGTGACTTTTGTCTGTATGTGACTACAACATAATGCGCCATCAACTAGTTACCAGAAACACATCAACAAAAAGGGTGAAGCTGAGGAACTAGATGACTCAAGAAGAGAGACACAGATAAATCATTGGAATTAATAGGAACTAAAAGGATGGAAACCAGCTGAGTCTTGCAAAAGGTTAGAAGTTCATCAAAGGAGAGCGTTCCAGTGAGATAAGACACTACGGCTCAATCCAAGGCAAAGTTGGTAATGGCTGAGGTACAAAGCGACATGCAAGGAAACAGCCACAGTATAAAGAGCAAAGGCACATGATTTGTTTTACTTTGTTCTGCTTTATTTTTTCACAGCTACAAACTGGGTAACCAGACTAATGCATACATAAGGATTTGGAAGTGTGATCCCTCTACGTCATGCTAATTTTCCAGGTTTTCATTTCTTATATTTATGGTTGTGAGCCTAGCCTTTAATGGCTGAGCTAACCCTCCAGCCCCAGATCTTTATTGCTTTATAAGATTTAATTATGTTTATTTTGTGTGGAAGGGTGTTTTACCTGCATGTGTGTCTTTGTACTTTGTGTGTGTAGTTCTTTAAGGAGCCAGAAGACGGGATCAGATCCCCTGGAACTGGAGTTATAAGTGGTTGTGAGCAGCCATGTGGGTGCTGGGAACCGAACCCAGGTCCCATATGAGAGCAGCAAGTGTTCTTGAATACTGAGCCATCCCTCTAGCACCCTGATACTGTTTATAAGTACATACACACTTCAGATCATGCATAACTATGTTGGTGGTATAATTAACAATATTTATTAAATAAATAACACTTTATTTCTTTTCTATTATGAAACAGATATGTCCTGGGTCGTAATGATGGTGGTTTTCTGGCTATTGATTCCAAAACTGCTCAGATCAAATTTGTCAAAAACATCGACCGAGATTCTACATTCATCGTTAACAAGACAATCTCAGCTGAAGTTCTGGCCATAGATGGTAAGAATGTTATTTCCATGGTTTTGAATGAAGTATTTAAATTAGCATTTAAATTAGCATGACAGTGATCATGACTGTTTTGCATATTTCCTTTATCACTAAAGATCATTATCTCAGGAGCTTTTGGCCTTGAGCCTGAGACATCACATCTTAACCTAAAAGAGACTAAGAATTTTCAGTTCCCAGTTTGGTTGGTACCATCTATAATCCTGTCCCCTTTGGATTACTATGGGTGAGAGAGAAAGTGTGTGTGTGTGTGTGTGTGTGTGTGTGTGTGTGTGTGTGTGTAATATTTGTGCATATGTAAGTGCAGGTGCATGTACCCACACATTGTGGAGGCCAGAAGACACTGAGTGTCCTGCTTCACCAGTGTATGCCTTAGTCACTTGAGTCAGGGTATCTCAGCAGGCCCACAAGAAAGAGTTGTGGGTGCACACACAGCAGCCCCAACTTTTTACATACTGCTAAGTGTTCAAACTTGGTTCCTCATGCTTGGACAGCTAGTGTTCTCACCCACTGAACCACCTTCCTAGCCTCAGAAGGAATTTTTTGACTTATAAAAAGTTACTGATATTTAGAGGACCAGTTAAAATTCCTATAGACAATCAATCAACAAATGCACTCCAAGTATAAACTCACCTGAGTTCTCTACAGAGAACCTGCAAACTCTCATCATGAAATTTCCTCTTCCTGAGATGTTTTAAAATAATACTCATGTATGAGTATGAGTTTATCAGTCTATAAAATTAATTTAGGCTCAGTATAGTAAACACCAAAAAATAAACATCAAAAATATTGACATTTGGAAAAAAACACCCCTAACAGTAAATATGACAGAACTCATTTATTATCTCACCACTCAAAAGCTTTATTTTGTTGCTTGATTGTCAACATTAATTGTTGGTTTGTTTTTGAAATAAGGCCTGACTACAAGTAGTTGGCCCTGTGGCAGGCTAGTCTCAAACTCAAAGAGATCCACATGCCACTGCTCCTAAGTGCTTGGATTAAAAAACCACATGCCACCACCCTGTGGCTTCAGTAAACTTTTAAGTCTTATGTAATAAATATAACTATTTATTCCAAATACTAGAGCTCAAATTGCAGGAGCAAGAATCTTTTGTCTCCTGATTACAAATGCAGCCACAATTTTAAAGCTATTTCTTTTTTGTATTGATTTCATTTGTAATTAGTGAATTAAATACCTTGATTTCAAGAATATTTGACTGATGCTAATGCTGTTTACTAGAGACACAGGCAACTTGGCAAGTTTATATTGGTTTTATAAGTGGCAGATACAGGATGATGTTCTTTTACTTCTGTTAATAACAAACACACCTTTTCAGGAGAAGTTATAACTTGGCAGCAAGAAAGAAATATAAAAAATTACTTTTGTAAGTTGGGTGCAGGGTCATGTCTATAATCCCAGGAGGCTGAGAGAGTTTACAGCCAGCTTGATACCCTAGAGTGACAGAAAGAAAGAAAGAAAGAAAGAAAGAAAGAAAGAAAGAAAGAAAGAAGGGAGGGGAGGGGAAGGAAGGAAGGAAAGAAGGAAGGATGAAAGAATGAAAGAAAGAAAGAAAGAAAGAAAGAAAGAAAGAAAGGAGGGGAGGGGAAGGAAGGAAGGAAGAAGAAAGAAAGGAAGGAAGGAAGAAAGGAAGGAGGGGAGGGGAAGGAAGGAAAGAAGGAAGGATGAAAGAATGAAAGAAAGAAAGAAAGAAAGAAAGGAAGAAATAAAGAAAGAAAGAAAGAAAGAAAGGAGGGGAGGGGAAGGAAGGAAGGAAAGAAGGAAGGATGAAAGAATGAAAGAAAGAAAGAAAGAAAGAAAGGAGGGGAGGGGAGGGGAAGGAAGGAAGGAAAGAAGGAGGAAGGGGGAAAGAAAGAATGGAAGGCAGGAGGAGAGAAGGGAGGGAGAAAAGAGTGTGAGTGAGGGGTAAACATTGAAAGAAAGGAGAGTGAAGAGAGAACAGGGGAGTGGAGAGGAGGAAGGGAGGGGAGGGACTCGGAGAAAGCAAGAAGAGAGCTAGGAGAAAGAGAGAAAGAAAGAGATGGGGTGTTAAAGGTCATTTTTGTACATGTAACCTCTGTAATCCTTTATAATTCTTACAGAAAACACTGGGAAGACGTCTACAGCCACAGTACTTGTTGAGGTGCCCAGTTTTAGTGAAAACTGTCCGTCAGTTGTCCTGGAGAAGGAAGAGATCTGTAGTTCGTCCCCATCAGTGGTTCTCTGGGTGAGAACCCTGGAGAGGGGTAGATACTCTGGCCCCTACACAGTGTCGCTGGAGGAGGAGCCCCTGAAACTGCCAGTCATGTGGAACATCAGGATGATGAACGGTGAGTAGAGAAAACACGCTTCCGTGGACCAAAGCTGCGGCTGCTTTATGTTCCCAGAGGAATATGAACCCTTTGACAGAAGTCCTTTCTGGGGAAAACTGCAAACATTCCTTGGAAACTGAGACATGGGCCTGGTCTCCTCTGAAAGGAAGAAAAGTGTATGCATTTATATGAATTCCAGACCACTTACTGTTTTCTGGGTTTGTTGCTGTTGTTGTATGAGTCAGGGGCTCTCTACGCTGCCCACCGGGGGCTGAGCTTGCCATGTAAGAGGTAACCTTTAGAGCATGGCAGACTGACATCTGCAAACCCACTAGCCAGTGAAAATGAGGGACTTCCTCCTAAAGTGTATCACGCTTATGTATTTCTGAGTTTTTCAAAATTCCATGGACTTAGTAAAAAAAAAAAAATCCCCCTTCTGGACTGTACAGTGACCATCAGGCCATCTCTAATCCTCTGTAAACTCACTTTGCTTTACTGGTTTTTGTTCAGATCTTGCTTCCTCTCGTGAGTGTGCTCCATGGCGTCCTGCATGCAGTCATAGGGTAGTCATGGCCAGAGACACCAAAGACATTTCTCTCTGTATGACTCTTAGCACTCTGATATTATTTAAAGGAATAGCTCCAAACTTACCTGCAGCCTTGGTCTCCAGATGAGTTTACCAGATAGATGCACAATCAATGAACAGAGAGCTGGGATTATAGGTCAGTGATACTGCACGTGCCTAGCATTCACGAGGCCACAGGGCCAGTTCTTGGCGGTTGGACGATGTGGGTGATTGAATTGAGTTAGGTTGGACACCTCAAACTGGGTAGCCATGGCACCATGTCAAAGGGTCTAGGTTCCAGAATAAGTCAAACAATTCAACACTGCCAGGGTTTCCTACCTAGAAAGCGGTGATGAAGGGATGCAGAACCAAGAACCCAAGAATAAGTGATGCTCAGCTGTCTAATAGGCAATGGGCCCCAACACTAAGAACCCTGTCACCAACCCAGGCCCTCATCTCTGCAGATAAACAAGAGAGGCAGACGAGAGAGCACCCCCAAAGTAGATTTCAGTGAGTCAGGCATGGCACCAAACTTTGAAGCCATACATGAGGCCATGTGCCTGTGAAATATTGGTGCAGATATACACAAGAGTGGCTGAGCTGAGGACAGAGACATGGCATTGTGATGTCCCATCTCCCACCATCTTCAGTGGGAAAAAGCAATACAGGGCTGGGTCCTTGTATTAGAGAATCATGGGCCTGTCAGGCTGTGGGAGAAAGTGACGAGAAGATACCAGAGTGGTCCACCTTTTTGGCTTCTCTGGGATCCATTGGATGAAGGGTTGTCTTGGGCCACATAGGGATGCCCAACCTACAGGCTTAGAAGTGCATGAAGAGCCTGAGGACTGTTTATCTTCAAGACACTGTTTCATGATCCAACATAATGAAGTTGTCTTCTAAAGACTTCAAGTACTGAGCAATCTGGCTATAAAAACAAACAAGAAGCAAACAGAAACAGTCTCTTGTGTTTTAATTAGCTTTTACAATTGTGTGTTGGATTGTATCTATAGCTATGTGGCCCATATGCCATGGATTAGACACTCCTGATAGGCAGACTGACCCCACCATACCTCTTATACCACTCAGCATGGCTCCAACCACACCAGCCCTACTATTACTAACCATGATTTCAAGACAATTCTAGCACCATGATCACAAACGAGAAGTTTTAAGAGCAAATGATGCCTAGCCTCACTGCTGATCTGTACTTTTTTGTAGCCACCTCAGCACTTCTGCAAGCCCAGCAGCAGATGTCTCCAGGAGTATACAGTGTCCCAGTCATCGTGAAGGACAATGAGGGCAGGCAGTGTGACACACCAGAAATCCTGACCCTGACAGTGTGTCAGTGTGATGACCGGAGCATGTGCAGAGCCCCTATGCCCAGCAGAGGACCTATGATATACAGGGAGTCCTCCTGGAGGCTGGGGCCGGCTGCCATCGGATTGATCCTGCTAGGACTCCTAATGTTGCTGTGTGAGTAAGCCAAGAGTCCATGGCAGTGACATCATCATTTATAAGAGCAATTGTGCTCATCTGTGCAATGTGAGAAGTGTCATTCTCTAGTCACTTAACCGGTAAAGTTGAAGGAAATTGCTAGAAAAATCTGGAATGTGTTTAGATTGTCACTTAGCAACAACTTAAATACAGCAAAACCAGTCATATATGCAAACATTAAAAAAAAAACAGAGCTGGTAGATGGCTCAGTCAATATAGTGTTTGTCTTACAAGCATGAGGGAGTGAGTTCAATCCCAGCACCCACCTAAGAAGCCAGGTGCAATGGCAAATGCTTGGAATCCCAGCCATAGTAAGATGAGAGGAAGAGACACACCGATGCCTAGAGCTCACTGGACTGCTAGCCTACCCTACTTATGGAAGCTCAGACCATTGAAAGACCCAGCCCCAAACAAAAAGGGGAAGACACCCAAGGAATGATATTCAAGGTTGCCTTCTGGCCTCCATAAGCACACTCATACAGCTGTGTACTCATAATCATATTCCACACACACAGGAGTTAGGGAACAAGAAACAAGAACAAAGGAAAGGCATTATAAAGATACTCTACATTCAGTCAATACATTCAGCCAAAATCATGACTTTATTCATAAGCATGGACTTTCCAAGATGTACGTACACATCTCAAATCCATATACTAGTCTCATGACTAAAATTCTAAAATAAAAAAAGAATGTCAGTCAAATAACTTTAGTGAGGTCATCTAGGACCCATATTAACAGAACTTGAGCACTGAGATTTATTGTTTAATCCAGCCAATCCTCATCACAGAGCTTACCCCTCATGTGCACCCCTTTCAAATATTCACACCTGGACTACAGGGATAGCTCAGTCATTAGGAGTACTTGCAGGAGTACTGGGTTTGATTCCTGACACCCACATAAAGGGTCGCAACAACCCAAAACTCCCAGACCTCATGTAGAACACACTCATACATATAAAATAAATCTTTAAAACGCTTTATAATGTTCACATATGGTAGTGAAGACATTTAGGGAAATTGCATGCCTGTACTGTCTTTTAATAAATGTACATTTTTTTAGATTACACAATAGATATGTTTCTGGAAATTTTCATTTTAATCAAAATCTCATTAATCAAATAATGCTCTGAATATGAGAGTCCTCTACTTGAAGGAACTTTGAAAGGAGTTGGGTAAACAAGAGATCCTTAATAAATTCACAATAATTCCTTAGTTTATTACTTAATCATAAGATATTAATGGAAAAACAAATTTTCATGATGCATGTGTATATTCTACTTCAATTGTCTTTAGAAATATGATTTATGGGTCAGAGAGATGGCTCAGGGGTCATGAGCACATAGATCTTACAGAAGAGTTGAGTTCAGTTCCCAACACATACTTTGGGTGGCTCACAACTTCCTATAACTCCAGCTCCAGGGAATCCAGTACCCTCTTCTTGCCTTCAGAGACATATGTGCACTCGCATGTACATATGTACACACAGATATACACATTTGCACAGAATTCAAAATTAAATATTTAATAATAAATATAATTCATTTAAGCATTGCATTTATATTCACTATGATGTCTGAGTTACATCCCATCTGCTTTAAAACTTGACCTAATTTTATATAAATATATTACTGGTCTAATTTGCAATACTATCATGTCTTCCTAACATCCATTACTGTCTTTTCCCCCTCTCAGACAACCAGGATGAAGGCACCATTTATTTCCCATGTGAATGGATGCTTAGAAAGATCATATGACATACTCAGGGTCATAAAGCTCAGAAGTGGTCCATCAAAAATTCAAATCCTAGAAGTCTGATTTAGAGGCATTCTCCCTAACCCTTCAGGGAGCTACTTCTAAGTGGGCAATCAAGCACTAGGGGTCCATGTGGTCTTGACAGGGTAGAGATGGAGATGAGGCATGGACAGCAGAGTCCAATGAGAGATGGCGCACCAGCTAAGAGCTCTGGCTGCTGCTCTTCCAGAGGACCTGGATTTGGATTGCAGTACCCACACGACAGCCAACAACTGCCTGACTCCAGTTCTAGGGAATCTGTCACCTTCCAGCCTCTGCATGCACCAGGCAGGCACATGGTACACAGGAAAAGATGGAGGCAAGACACCAAAACATATGAAATAAATATTGTTTAAATGAACGTTTCTTAGCCCATTAGCAGAAAGAATGGTAAAATGACTGGAAGATCCTCCAAGCTAAGGACTCTCAACAGCGCAATTAAAAATGCACTGGTAGGGGCTAGAAAATGACTCTGAGATTGAGAACATAGGCTCTACCAGAACCCAGGTTCCAATTCCAATACACACACACACATGCACTTACGCACGTGCACACACACACGCAGCACTGACAGCAATTGATCAAACCATATCTTTAGTTGCTGTTACACTTTGCTGGTCAACTGCTCTTTACTAAAGACCAGATTCTGAAATATTGTCAAAATCATCTAAGATTTTGCTTATGGAGGCATCATAGTTTTGTGTGTATGTACTGGGCACAATAGAGACAGAAAACATGTAAAAAATACGATAAATAGTAACAGCAACAATAATAATATGTATTATGGAAAGGGATTGAGAAACTGAACAAACCCCTCCAAGAAATGGCCTGGCCTCCTTCAGCTCATGATCACTGGAAAATTACTGTGTTTCGCTTACTAAACTGTATTCTGTAGAGACTAATTTTGCTTCCATCAAACATCTCTCTTTCATGTTCGAATTATTGTATTGCCCTTGTAACACTTTTGACAATTAGTTTCCAATGGATTCAAGCATTCTCTGTTTCCTGTTCCTGCACAGTGGCCCCTCTTCTGCTCCTGACCTGTGACTATGGGGCAGGTCCCATCGGAGGAGGAGCCGCAACAGGTGGCTTTATCCCTGTGCCTGATGGCTCCGAAGGAACAATCCATCAGTGGGGAATCGAAGGAGCCCAGCCTGAAGACAAGGTGAGCATTGGTTTGTAAAATGGTTACTGCAATCATGAGTGGGAAAGCATTTATATTGGAGTAGGAAAGGGGAATAGAGGGATGTCAAGAGACAGTTTGACCCTAAGCGGAAAATTGAGACTGTTGTAGATGGGGACTTTAAGGACTCTAGCTTTGCAGAAGTTGCATCCTAAAAGGGGCCACTCCTGGAAGAATTGTAATGTTATCACTTACAAGGGGCCATACTTCATCCATATTTCACTGAAATATGTGTAATTTATCTTATAATTTGTAGGAAATCACAAACATTTGTGTGCCTCCTATCACAACCAATGGAGCAGATTTTATGGAAAGTTCTGGTGAGTAAGCATCAACTTTGTTTACTTATTTGTACTGAGATTTGAACTCAGGACTTCATGAATGCTAAGTGTGCCCACTGAGCTACAGCCCCTGTCCTTTTTTGTGTGTGTGTTTTCTGTTTTGAGACAGGGTCTCACTAATTTGCCCAGGCAGAAATTGAACTTGAAATCCTTCTGCTTCAGCCTCCTGAGTAGCTGAAATTTTCTTTTCATGTAGAGGACAACTAGTCAAAATTAAGAAATGATCGATAATTGCACATTCACATTAGTGCCCATGACCAGAGCTATCACCACTTGAGATTAAAAGCGGGCTTTTATATTTCTTGGTGTTTTAGCCAATTCTGCATCATTAGTCTGCCCTCCATGAATTAATTCACTCACTGATGTCACTGTTTTAAAAAACAAATCTAAAGACTGTTTTGGTTTTTTTGGATTTTGTTTGTTTGGTTGGTTGGTTGGTTTTTTGCTTTTTCCAAATTTTAATGGTTCGAAGTAACTATAGCTCTCAGGCAACTGATTATTAACTTTTAAATACTTTTAAATTATTATTTTCTTTTGTTTAGAGGCATTTTGCCTGCATGTATACCTATGCACCATGTGCATGCCTGCTACCCACAGAGGCCAGAAGATGTGTAACCAGGGTTACACATGGCTGTGAGCCACTATAAGGGTACTGGGAACTGAACCTGTCTTTTGGAAGAGCAGCCAAAGCCCTTAGCCTCTGAGCCACATTTTCCAACCACTAATTAATAACTTTTAATAAGAATTATTTTACAGTGTTCGAAAACTGTGAATGTAAGCAATAGCGGGGCCCACCACTAACTCTGACTATTGCTAGCGCAGGTGGGTTCGTGTTTGCCCATGAAGTCTCACGTGTGTGCTTCTGTGCATGTGCATGCCTCCTGTGTGTGTGTGTGTGCGCGCCTGTAATTCTGTCTATCTTCCTGGTGTAACAGCATCAACTATGTCTGATTTGAGTTCAGTTACTAGTTCTGTGCAGTCAGTCTCCATGGGGTATGAACCCTAAAGCTGGCATTTGAGTGAATCTCTTATTTCTTTGGATTTTAATCATGTTGTCTTGTTACCAGAAGTACACTACAAACTAGCAAGCAATAAGACCTGGCATTCACAGGAGTTTTATCCTTAATTCTATAGTTGTCAAGAATCTACACAAGTTATCTCTCTAACAGCTTCTCAAATACACACTTGCATCTCCCATTATGATTATGTAGCAAAAGACTAAACCCAGAATTGCCTGTAAAATGTAACCCATGATGAGCTGGAGAGTTGGTTAGGTGGTGTAGAGTGGGTGGTCCTCCAAAGGACTGGGGTTCAATTCCCAGTACCCTCAGTGAGTGGTTAATAAGCACCTGTAAAACAGGATCTGACATCCTGTTATTACCATTTCTGTGGACACCTATACACACGTGCCCATATTCACACACACACACACACACACACACACACACACACACACACACACACACACGGTAAAAATAAATTTAAATAATCTATGAAAGCATCACATAAAAGAAACAGGAAACACATCCATAATTCTTTAAATTCCCCTTTGATGCCAGCTATCACTCTGCAGGGTCACATCATGTGGACTTTCTTCATTTCCCATGCTGAGATCCTAAGACTGCTTGACCCCCAGCATCATTGTCCCTGAGAACACGAGTTGAGAAGCTTCCCATGGCTGATCGCTGACTACTGTGTCTTTCCACCTTTTTGTTTCTGGACATTGCCACCAACGATCTGCTTCCCCCGTTCCCTTCTTTAATTGGTGTGTCTTCACGGCTTTTCCACCTGCCCATGCCCCTCCAGGATGCTCTCACATGAACCTTCTGGAATGTTATTACCCCAGCCACATCACTGTGCTGCTTTACACAGTAACTGTCCATCAAAGATGAAAGAACTCAAGCGACTAAAAAGAGAGCTCAGTCAGTCAGGTGCTTGCTGAGCAAGTGTGAGGCTCTGAATGCATGATAAAGCTAAGCACTGTGCATAGCCCATGCTGGGAAGACAGGGAGAGGCAGGTCTCTGGGACTCACTGGTCAGAGAGCCTCCCTGAATCAGCAAGTCCCTGACCTGTGAGAGACCCTGGCTCCAAAGATGGACGGTGCCCTGAGGGACAACAGCTAAGACTGACTTCTGGTTTTCACAGGCACACACGTGCACACATACCACATGGTCATACACACACCTATGAACATGCATACAAATGTACACACATATATGCATACACACCAGAGCTTTAAAAAAAAAGCGTGAAGTATTAGTGAACCCTCTCTCTTGTGTCTTTAGAAGTCTGCACAAATACATACGCTGGAGGGGCGGTGGGGGAAGGTGCCTCAGGAATGGAAATGACGACCAAGCTGAGGGCAGCGGCTGGATCAGGAGCTGCAGGGCCACTTGGCCCCTGTCCCTTGGGTCCTTCAGGAACAATGAGAACGAGGCATTCCACTGGAGGGACCTTGAAGGACTATGTTGCTGCACCAGTGAGCATGGCTTTCCTAGGTTCCTACTTTTCTCAGGTAACTGCATGGCAAACAGGTGGCTGGTTATCTCGTTTACATAGCAAATCTGGTTACTTGGTTATATTCGTTAGTATTGAGATTCATTTTTTCTGTACGTTTTTAAATGTAAGCGGGGAGGGGGGGGCTTCCTCTTGTCAAAGTAAATCAGATCATTTTGGTGGCTGTAGAAATTGGGCTACTGATTCAAACTCACAAACAAGGACGTTAATGCAAAATCCCCATGGGGGTGAAAACTATCCCCGTGCACCTTGGGAAAGCTGCCCCTCCCCCGGACACAAAAATCAAACAGCCCAGTGGTAGCATATACAGTTACCATGGAAACCGAAATCCAGACAAAATCAGAAACTAAAATATAAGCCTAGGCTAGACTTTTTGATGGAATGTCAGCCATATTGCCAATTCCCCAAACAAAGACGCTGAAGAGTATTTCCTGAAGCCAGACTCAGAAAGACCTGCATCGTTTCCGCTTGCTCTAATATGTGGATCTGGGTCTTTTTATCGACGACATGAAAGCAGGAGGGGACTTCTGGGAAGAGAAGGGGAAGAATGGGAGAGAGGCGGGGGAACATGGGACAGTAATGGAAAGAGAATCTATCTCGCATTTCCTCTCATTTGCAAAAGTCTGTATCTAACTATATGTGCACATATAGCACATGGAAGCCAAGGAGAGACTATTTGGGGAAAGAAAAGGGGCTAGCAGGAGGAAGGGGAAGAGCAAGAAAGAGTAAGGGGGATCCAAATCAAAGATCAAGGATATATATTCATGGGAATGTCATAGACCCATTGTATTGAACACTAACTGAAAACAAAAATAACAATAAAAACAAATAATGAAGACGTTTCAGCTATCCAGAGGAAAAAAGTAAGCACTAAAAAAAAAAAAAAAAAAAAAAAAAAAAAAGAACACTTTCATCACTAGTGTGGATTACATAATGTATGGGTCTGATGGTCTTTGTAAAGTCTATTTGTCCCCTTTCTCCACATTTAGAAATCATTCTCCTATGCTGAGGAAGAGGATGAGCGGGAAGTGAATGACTGTTTGCTGATCTACGACGACGAAGGCGAGGATGCTGCCCCCTGCTCGCCTGCACTCAGCTCCTGCAGCTTTATGGCCGATGACCTAGATGACAGCTTCTTGGAGTCCCTTGGCCCTAAATTTAAAAAGCTTGCACAGATATGTCTTGGTATTGATGATGAAGCCAAGCAGGCAAAGCCAGGACCTAAAGACAGTGGTTCTGGGGCAGATATTTATGCTCGCTCTAAAGATGTCCCTCTGGCAGATCCTTCCAGGTCGGGTTCTCAAAGGTACCAGACTTTGCCCGCCAGTCTGGAGGTCCCTCAGTCCGGTTCTCGAAGGCACCAGACTGTGTCTGGCGGTCTGGAGGTCCCTCAGTCTGGTTCTCGAAGGCACCAGACTGTGTCTGCCAGTCTGGAGGTCCCTCAGTCTGGTTCTCGAAGGCACCAAACTCTGTCGGGCAGTCTGGAGGTCCCTCAATCGGGTTCTCAAAGGTACCAGACTTTGCCTGCCGGTCTGGAGGTCCCTCAGTCGGGTACTCGAAGGCACCAGACTGTGTCTGGTGGTCTGGAAGTCCCCCAGTCGGGTTCTCAAAGGCACCAGACTCTGTCTGGCAGTCAAGATGTGTTCATTTCCGGGTCTGTCCACCCTGCCATTGCCATCCCTGATCCTCTACAACTTGGTAACTATTTGCTCACAGAATCTCACTCAACACCAGGTTCCTCCGTGCAGCCCACAACTGCCACCTTTGACCCACGCCTCACCCAGAGTGTCACAGTAACAGAAAAGGTGATTTGCCCCCTTCCCAATGTCTCTGGCAGCATAGTGGCTCCCACAGAGCTGCGAGGTTCATACAGTATGCTCTATACAAAAGAATCCTATTCCCATCTATGACCAAAGCAAATTGGAAAAACATACCAGCCACATTTGGATATTTGTACCTAAATACCTTTTTTAAAATATAGCAAAGCTTGTGATAATTGGACTAATCTGACTTTTTGGATAATCTCTGATTATGGTTGTAATTCAAATATTCTGATTCATATAACAAAGCTGGGTATGTTGTCTTTACTAACTCTCTGATTTTTTTTTTCAAGCAGGAGTAAACCTATATATTTTCAAAAAAGATGATCTTAAGATATTGGATAAGGAGGGTTTCTAAGCATCTTTATAGTTCTACACTACCAATGCCAAAGGAAGACCCAGTCACCTTAAGACTCAGTGTGTGTTAGTAGATTGGCTTCCTTCTTGAAGTCCAGGTTCCTGTCTCTGTCACCTCCTCTAGTTTCGTTAATGAGGATATTAACAGCAGCGGGAGTCTGAGGTGCCTGATGAAATTTACGGGGCAGCTTGGAGCAAAGGTAATGGATGCAGCTAAGGGGTTTTTTCTTTGGTAAGAAAACTAAAAGCATATCTTTTGCTCAAGCCTGGGGTTGTGGGTGAATATGTTTAAAACTCTGCATCTATATTCTGTGTATACTCACAATAAGACAGTTTTAAAGTCCAAATAGCATAGAACCTGTAAGAAAGTTTAGTAATGGTGTAAATAATATTCTGTGTGTATTTTGAGCTAGCCCAAGAAAGTGCAATTTCATACAGAAAATACGTGTTCCCTTGTAGACACTCCTCAAAAGTCAATCCTGTGTCGGTCTTTTAAAAAGAAGGCATTATTGTTAGTGCCAGCCGGTAGGAATGCCTCACAGAAGATGTGAGGTGAGGTTTGTTGTGTTAACAACGTTGATCAGGGTTTGCAGGAGTAGAAAGCCTGGCTTCTCTTCTAAACAAAAAGGCCTGTGAACTAATAAAATAGCAGGTAGTGAAATGTGTGAGTGTCAATCATTTTAGGAGAATAACAAAATCATTTTCAAGTGAAAAAAAGCTGTGGCAATTTAATGCTAAGTGTATGGATGTAATGTGAGTGAATGTTTAGACCAGTGGTTCTCAATCTTCCCAATGCCTCGATCTTTTAATACAGTTCCTCGTGTTGTGATGACCCCCAACCATGAAATCACTTTTGTTGCTACTTCATAACTGTACTTTTGCTACTGTTACGGATCGTAATGTAAATATCTGATATGCAGGAGATCTGATATGTGGCCCTTGTGAAAGGGTGGTTCAACACTCCACACACACACAAAGGGATCATGACCCACAGACGGAGGACCACTGACTTAAAACCTATTTCGTGAGAGTTGCCCTAACAGGAATACAGTTCTTCCAGACGTTTCTGATGATTCATGACCTCATCCTTCAGCCACAAAGAACACCCTACCTCCCCTGCTTCTCGGCATCATTGTCTTAGCTGCGTCTTTGCAAGGCTGTTATCCAGCTCAATTATTTTGAATTGTTTGAAAAGTAGGTCTTTTAATTTCCCTCTTTTTTTTTTTTTTTTTTTTTTTTTTTTTTTTTTGTTGTTGTTGTTGTCAGCGTTGGGTTTTGTTGGTTAGTTGGTTTTATTTTATTTTCTTTATGAGGCAGGGTTTTGCTGTAGCTAAGCTGGCCTGGCACCTGCCATGTAGTCATGCTAGCCTTGAACTTGTGACCTTCCTGGTAGTGTCCTGAGTGCTGAGACTGCAGGCATGAGCCACCACCTACAGCAGAGTTTTGTTTTTTTTTTTTTTTTTCACAATAAAAGCTTTAAAATGTTTTTTCCTAGACACTGATTATCAACTATGTTTTAATCCTAAAAGTAAATACGGTCTAAAAGACACTGTGGGTGAAACAAAACACCTAAATGTCACTACCCCTAGTACCTGTCCCTTTTGCTAACATTGTGGCTCCCAGGGATGTATGTATTAGGACAGACAGGCTGAGAAGCTGGAGCAGCCCATGTTTCCAAGGCAGGGTTTCAGCATGCCTGGACCAGTGAGGCCAGCCCAGTCTGTCCAGCAGCCCACCCCTCGCTTTCGCACAGCAGCTTGCTCTGATCCAGACTGCAGACACCGGCCTGGTCTGTGCTTCTGCTTTTCCATGAGTGCTAGATTAACAATAAGAACAGCTCTTACTCCATGTGCAAAGGTAGATTCGGGTTTCCCAGAGCACTTTAACTGTAGCTCTTGAACCCAGCTTAACAAATGGGAATTTGAAGCCAGGCATGGTGGCCTGCAACCCAGCACTTGGATGACAGAAGCAGGGAAGATCAGAAGGTCAACCTCAGCCACATAGCTAGCCTGGCTACATGAGACCTTGTCTCAAACCAAAGGTTAGAAAAATAACCTCAAAAATGGGTATTTGGCTGCATTGTTAAAATGCAGAGGAAACCAGGTCACCGAGGTAAAGCTTATGTAGACAAAACCTAAATGTGTTTTTAAGTTTGAAAATGTATTGATCTTTGGAATGACCTAGAAGTTCTCTTCATTTGTAACAGTGTTTCTGTATTTTTTATTAAAAATAAAAATTGCTTTAAGCAGGAAACTTAAGTGTCCTTTGACTTCACATACTACACATTTTAAACAGTACGCAATAAAACCCACGATGGGACTGTTGACATGGCTGAGTGGATGAAGGTTCTGACAGCCAATCCTGACAGCTGACACTGATCCCTGGGACCTACGTGATGGACGCAGAAGAGAAGGAGAGAACGAGCCCCCAAAAGTTTTCCTCTGGTCTCTACAGGCACACTATGGCACATGCATGCCCCCCACAATAAATAAACAGACGAATAAATAAATAAAGCAAATAGTGAAAGAGATTTTTCCATAACAGTTATTAAGAAATGTTCTGTAACCGTGCATATGAATCTGTAGACAAAAGTCCCGCCCAGGCCTGCAGCCATTCAGTCCCAAATAAACACACAGAGGCGTCTATTAATTACAAACTATTTGGCCTATTGCTCAGGCTCCTTACTAATAAACTCTCATAACTTAAATTCACCCATAATTCTTATCTATGTTTAGCCGTGTGGCTTGTTATCTTTTCTCAGTGAGGCCTTCTCATCTTGCTTCCTCTGAGTCTGGCTGGCGACTGCATCTCTGCCTTTCCTCTTCCCAGAACTCTCCTAGTCTGCTTGCCCCGTCTACACTTCCTGCCTGGCTACTGGCCAATCAGTGTTTTATTAAACCAATACAAGTGACAAATCTTCACAGTGAACAAGAGCATTGTCTCACATCAGTATTCCACTTTTTGTTCCCGGATGATAACTCTCCCTCATTCTCCCAGGCAACGAGGAAGCATCTGAGGATTCAGGATTGCTTTGGGAGGGTGTGGAACTCCAGGAGCTCAGAGAAGAAAGCTTTTAGGAACTGGATGTTTTTAACCATGCACAGTGTGTCTGGACGATAGGCAGAGTTCACCCTTCTATGATGACTTCGACAGAGAAGCTGGAGTAAAGGGTGACAATTCTCATGTACTGTGACAGAAATCTGCACCATGACACTGTGGAGAGCCATCTACCCTCATGTTAGCTTTGCCACTAAATAAATGCCACACTATTGTGTGTCCTTCTAAGATGTGTCAAGACACTGGGTCTTCTTCTGGCTATTCTTCCCCCTTAGCCTTAGATGAAGATAATGGAGAGAAAAAATAAAAATGAGTACTAGATTAAGAATATTGATTTGGAATCAATGCCGGAAATAAAAATGACAAAACCGGAGATGGGAAGAAGGCTCGGTTGATAAAGAGCTTATTGTACTTTATCCCCCCAAAACATCCAACCTCTAAAACCCACATAACAATCCCAGCCAGTGGGGAGGCTGAGCCAGGCAGGGCTCACCGGCCAGCCAGCCTGACCTCACGAGTGAGCTCCAGGCAAATGCACAGACCCTGCCTCAAACAGCATGGATCCCCTGAGAAATGACACCTGAGCTTGACTTCTGCCCCCACCCCCACCCCACCGCCCTCTTTGGCATCACTACACGCATACAACACATCCCAAAACAAAACAAAGGAAAATGGTCTGTTTTAATTTTGGGACCTCAAAGAAAAAGTCGCCATAAGAAAGGTGCATGTGCCACTCACTGTCTAGCTTCACTGACATCAACAGTTAGGAAACAAATACAAGCAGACTCCTTCTTGGTGACTGGTCTGGTTTTTCGTACCCTCTGCCTAGCCTGTAAAGAGGAATTTTGAATCAGAAATTACATGGCTTAACATTTATTCAGTAACAAATCTGGAATGGTTTCATGGAAGAGGCACTACTGTTAAGTCAGGAAAAGGAACAATTATTTCAATCCCAAGTGCCAGAATCCACAGAGTTCCCTCCTGTCTGAGATTTATCCACAGCCAATACATCACCCATGCTCAAGTTTTTGTCTTCATTGTCTTTCTCTTTCAAACTTTTTGCTACAAATATAAAACAAAGAAATATGGATATAATGGGTATAGGGTTAAAACTCATGACAACCGTACTAGGGGGAATGTACCAATGGTTGCAGTTATCAGAAGGGAATTGATACTATAGAGTGTTGCCATGTGGCTGTGAGAGCCCCAGACTCCAGTTAAAGTCTTGGTGAACCTTAGTCACAGATACAGAGACTCAGACGGGCAGACTCTCCCAGCTTTCACAACGAAATGGGACAGACATAAATCATATTTACAGTTGCCTTCCTCTAGGAACAACTACTTGGAATACACTCTTCCCTGTCCACTCTAGACTTGAGCAACACCTGAAAAATTAGGAAGAGTAGGGAGAAAATAATGACAATAATAAGAAGGATTAGAAATACAGACCTAGAGCCCAGAGATGGAAGTGTCCAAGTCTGGGGCCATAGTTCTATAGTTCTAGCTACTCCAGAGGTTGAGGCAAGGTGATGCAAATTCAAAACCAGCCTGGACAACTCAGTGACAACCTGTCTCAAAATAAGTAGCAAAACTGTCTGAGAGTGTAACTCAGTGATAGAGGCCTGGATAAGCCTGTGGGAGGCTCAGGGAAAAACTGTTTTAAAGTGTGGGACATAGTGGTTCACATCTAACAATCCCAGCACTAAGAAGACTGAAGCAGGAAAATAACATGATTTTGAGAACAGTTTGTGCTTAGACCTGCAGATAAATAAAAAGATGATATGTGATACATATATAGATAGATGATAGCTTGATAGATAGATGATAGGTCTAGATGGAAGACAAACATCAGGTAGATAGATGGTTGGATAGATGGATAGATGGATAGATAGTCAAATAGGGCAAATAGGGACATTTAAATTACAGACCAACTCTTTAAGCTGAACT